AGGGCTAGGATTAGGGACCTATAGTTGATCATAGATGCTGAGGATATGTGTGTATCATGGGTGGACACCAAGGCCCCAGACAGGATCACAGAACCTTGCATGTGGGATTCTTTTGTGGGATAGATGTGTGTGATTCTGGGTGTCCAGCCTGCCCAGGGTTCCTATGTGTTGCTACAGGGACGACATGGAAACCTCTCGGGGATGGTTGGCGGCCTGTGTGTTGGCCATGACCCTGGTATCCACAGTGACCGAGGATGTCTGCAGAGCACCTAATGGGAAGGATGGGGTTGCAGGAAATCCTGGCCGCCCAGGGAGGCCAGGTCCCAAAGGAGAGAGAGGGGAGCCAGGTAAGCATTCTCTCCTGGGGCCCTGGTCCCACCGTCCTCAAGGCAATGACTTAGGAAGGTCCTGAAAAGCAATGGTGTACCTGAGTTCTCCCCAGGGGAACCTGAGGGCCTAGGCTTCTCTGGCACCTTGTCCCCAGCCCCTCCCCCTTCCTCCTCTGCAGAACAGGCAGCAAGGAGAACAGATGTGAAAAGCTTTATAACAGAACCCGAGATTCTAGAGTCAGGAGCCATCGCCTTGTTGGTTGACTTCAGACAAGTTACAGACTCTCTGAGCATCCAGTTCTCCTCTGTGAAATGGAGGCAGAGCCCTGCCTGGGGTGTAGGGAAAAGTCAGCCAGTAGCAGTGGCTGTAAGAGAGCCATTACAGCCTGGCATGTAAGAGAGACCAAAAAAAAAAAAGCTGCATGGTGTTGGCGCACACCTTTAATCCCAGCACTCAGGAAGATCTCTGTGAATTAGAGGCCAGCCTGGTCTACAGAGCAAGTTCCAGGATAGCCAAGGCTATACCAAGAAACCCTGCCCCCTCAAAAAAAAGCATCTAAGAAAAAAAATCAGCCATTAACAACTGCTCTTTGCAGTTCCTTCCAGATCCCTACTCCATCCCTGATCCCCTGTCCACTCTACCCTGTCAGAACACATCACTGTAAGGGGGATAGGGAGTGAAGGGGCTATATGACCAGAGCCCAAAGCAGGAAGGAAAGGCACCCTATCATCCACAGCCTCCGGGTCTCCAGAAGGTGGAAAGAACCCTCAACACCGACCCAATCTGCACAATGTGCACACACACACACACACACACACACACACACACACACACACACACACACACACACGCCTCCCCCACCCTCATGCCCTCCCCCCACAAGGTCCCAAATCTGAGAGAGGAGTTTGTGATCTGGAGGCATGTGAAGTGACGGCCATGGGCAGAACTCAGCTGGGCAGCCAGAGTGCCCCACGCTTCCTAGAATCCGGGCTCTGCCACACGACCGCTTTGCTTCACTCCATTTTTGTGGATGAAGCCAGGGCTCAGAGAGGTTGGCATGCTTGCCCAACGCCACACAGCCAGTCAGCCCAGTCGGACTCAGTCTCTTAAAAGCAAAGGCTCTTTCTATGAGGACTGGACTCCATACCCACGATGCCCCCATTCACCAATCTGTTCTTTCCACCAGGAGCTGCTGGCATCCGGACCGGCATCCGAGGCCTTAAAGGAGACCAGGGGGAGCCTGGGCCCCCTGGAAAACCTGGCAATATGGGGTTCCCAGGGCCCACTGGGCCCCTGGGGAGCAGCGGCCCCCAAGGACTGAAGGGTATCAAAGGCAATCCAGGCAATATCAGGGATCAGCCCCGGCCAGCTTTTTCAGCCATTCGGCAGAACCCCCCGACAATTGGCAATGTGGTTGTCTTTGACAAGGTCATCACCAACGAGGAGGGCCCATACCAGAACAAGACAGGCCGCTTCATCTGTGCGGTGCCCGGCTTCTATTACTTCACCTTCCAAGTAACCTCCAAGAGGGACCTTTGTCTGTCTCTCATGTCCTCCTCCCATGGCCAGACCAGGAGTTCCCTGGGTTTCTGTGATGTCAACAGCAAGGGGCTCTTCCAGGTGATCTCAGGGAGCACGGTGCTCCACCTGCAGCGAGGGGACCACGTGTGGATTGAGAAGGACCCTGCAAAGGGTGGCATTTACCAAGGTACCGAAGTCGACAGCGTCTTCAGCGGATTTCTCATTTTCCCCTCTGCCTGAGCTGGGGGCCACCCCACATTCCACCGCCTCCTCCACTCCCCGCTGTGGGGCCCTGCCTGCACCCCTTCTCTCTGCTAAGTGAAGGAGCTGCAATTGGGGCTTTGCCAGCCCCGGGGCGGGGCTGACTTGGAGGGCCCTGAGGACTGGTGCCTCTCTGCACTTTCTGGAATAAATGACCCCATCTGTGTCTGTGGCTTGAGATGTGGTGGTTGTTCCGGGCATTGGGCAGGAAGGAGGCATAAAACTGGCCACTGCTAACTGCTTGAGAGGCAGCAGTGTTAACACTGTACACAAATGTTGTCAGGTAGGGAGGGGCTAGTGGACAATCCAGACTCCATCCCATGCTAGCTGCCAGATCACATGGAGTGGCCTCAGTTTCCAAATCTGCTAAATGGTACTAGTAGTGGAAGCTCCATGGTTGGGGGAGGGACTCTGCTGCTGCTGTGGACCAGTGTGTGAAAACTTCAGACAGGGCCTATTGCTGCTCTGTTTTGTCCGTCTTGCTAGCCAAGCTCCAAGGGGAGTATTCTTACCGTGTCTCCAAGATAATGGCATTGAAACTCGCGCAGGGGTTGGGGGTGGGAATCAGGATCTTCGATTCCCAAGTGTATTGCCACAATCCCACAGTCTCATACACAATCACATAGGAAGCCAACACACACAGTTTCACAGCAACCACACACTGTCTCCTGCTCACACACCTACTACCCTCAGGACTCACAATGTCCCCCATTCCTGGGCCGAGACTCACCCACCCCTCACCAGAACTTGGACTCAGGGACTTCCTCTCAGCATACTATGTACACCCTTGGAGGTACACACTAGTTACTATGTACAGCCTTGGAGGCACACACTAGTTACTATGTACAGCCTTGGAGGCACACACTAGTTACTATGTACACCCTTGGAGGTACACACTAGTTACTATGTACACCCTTGGAGGCACACACTAGTTACTTCTCCAAGTACACACACACACACACACACACACACACACACACTATTTCTCCAAACACACATACACATATGTGCACACACGATGTGCATGTCCCCACATGCACAGGAATAAGAAAGCCTGTGTTTTTCCCCACACTAACCCCTACCCCACATGCTCACACTTCGGAGTCACGGATGATCCCTCCTGTTCACTGGCTGGTGCATCTGGTCTCAGAGTTATCTCTGACACGTCCCTCATGTCCCTTTCTACATGGTAAATCACGTGTCATCCCTGCAGCCTAGAGTCTCCGAGGTTGGGAAGAAGTGGGGCACTCCAGGGAGAGAGAGTGGACCCCTCAGCCCCAGGCCACCACCACACGACCCCCAGAGCTCCTTGGCTTCTTGGTCCACTCTGCCCCCAGCTCTCCCTGACCCCTGAATGTATACCTCCACATTGACTTTGGGGACACCGTGTGCTGACTTTCCGTAGCCACAGAGTGCAAAACGGTTGCAGACACTGAGGCTTCATGAAAGGAGCCTGCTGGAAGATAGAGGATCTGCATCTAAGCCAGGCTGTCTCGCCCCAAAGTGGAGGGCTCCTGTCACTTGTGGGGTACTGAGAGGAAGGGGAATGTCTGAACTAGTAGATGGGGAGGGTTGACCCCCTCCTGAGCCTGCATTCCAGCCAATCTCACCCCTTCACCTGCAAATCTCAGTTCGTCTGAGCCTGGAAGCTGAGCCAGGCAGAAGGTGGGCGGGGCAGAGAGGGCTGAGCGCAGACCGAGACTGCCACCTGCTGGGAGAGCTAGACATGGTACAAGGGTGACCAAGACAGAAGAGAGCAGGTTCCATTAGTCTCACAATGCAGAGGCCACAATGCTTGCTCCTCTCAGCCCTGGGTGGCTAGTGCATTGTCACCCTGGCCTCATGGAGTATCCTGGGATGTAAGTGGAAGGGTTGTCAGAATGATTGGGAGAAGAAGACCCTGAGGGCTACTTAGCTAGGCAGCCTGAACTGTTAGCGTGGACCAGGGTGTAGCATATGCATGGTGCAGAATCCTCCCCCTGCCCTACACAGGACCTCACCCAAGTCCAGGCAATAAGAGGGCAAGGCTGGGCAGCTCTGCTGCCCCAAACTTACTTTCATTCTAAAACTTCCACTTGAAGAAAGAGATAGGGAGATGCCTGGGCTGACCAGTAAAATCCCCAGGAGCAGAGGCAAGGTAGGGATGATGCGGGTTGTGGAAGTGCATCAAGGTGGTGGGGGCCCAGCAAGGGAAGAGGTAGCAGCAGTCAGGTCCTGGCACCCCACAGCCGAGGGTAAAAGGATCTGCAGAGCAGCGATCCTGTCTACTGATCAGGGAGTCCCCAACAAGGGCAGGCCGAGACTCCAGCTCTTTAGCCAGACCAGCTGATGCGCAGAGGCAAAGCAAGCTCGCCCTGGCTTCCTTCCCTGAGCCTGACAATGGAATGGGTATGTGGATGTTTCTAGAATAAGCCCACCACTTGACAGCTGCATGTGAGCCTTGTTTCTAAGGAGCTGATGAACACAGGGGTCACCCTGACAACTCTTCAGTGTGTGACTTAGGGCAGGTCTTCTCTTCTGGAAGAGGGACTAACTTCACCTCAGAGAGAGGGAAGGACAATGAACCTCAGGCACGGTGAATGACATAGAATGGCCACCCTGCCCTGGGGGACAGCTGTGCCCTGGGCTCAGGTCTATGCACAAACACATGTCACACACACACACACACACACACACACACACACACACACACACACGCACGCACACACATGCATGCAGGTACCCATCCTGCCGTTCCCAGGATGAGGGGCTAGCAGACACTTCCTCATTTTATCACACATGACCTAAGGCCAGGAAAGGAAGGGGTGAACAAAGATGTCACTGTGGTCAACCTGGCTCAGAGCCTAAAAGAAAGTGTGAAGTCAGGAAAAATTGCTGGAAAGAGGATGTGGGATTAGGGTGATGTGGGGGGGGGGCACCAGAGCCTGCTCTGGGCAGTTCTCTGTCCATTCTGACAGTGTCCTCCTGTCTGAGAGAACAGGACATCTCTGTGATTAGGCCTGAAGTCTCCTGCACCCTCAGGTGAGGCTGGGACCCTGCCCGGGTGGGAGTGAACGCAGTTTCCCCCCAGGTTCCTTCCTGAGCCATGGGGCCAGGACTAGCTCTGTTTGCTGAGCTTAAGACCTGGGCCTTAGAAGAGACCCGACTACCCATCTGTCCACCATCCATCTAACCATCATCTGTGCATGGATGTGGACTCCCCAGGGTGAAGGGTATGGGAGGGGGCAGAGCAATGAGGGGAATAAGGGCAAGCGGGGAGTTCGGTACCAGCTCCCGTTTCTCCCCACAGACCCTCCTCAGGATGGATGTGGGGCCCAGCTGCCAGCCCCAGCGTGGACTCTACTTGATGCTGCTTCTACTGGTTCTGACACCCAGGAGCCAGGCCAACCCCAGCTGCTATGGAATCCCAGGGATGCCAGGCCTGCCAGGGACCCCTGGGAAGGATGGGCATGATGGCCTGCGGGGGCCCAAGGGTGAGCCAGGTGAGTCTGCGAGCCTCTATTTCAGCAGGCTTAGTTTCTTTGTCCTCAGAGTCCTGGCTGCAGCCCCCGGCTGACTTCTGGTGACCTTGTAGCCTGTTGCCCTCGTTTGCCTCATCTTGCGGAAGGGAGTTAAGGACAGCCCCTGTCCCTGCAGGCAGATATCAGCCTGCTAACATGCATGTGGACACTTAGGGAAGGTGGCCCACCCTGGCTGCTCTGGGTGCACTGACTGTCGGGTCAAAGCCACACCCACCACCTCCCCCTTTGCCAGCTTGCACAAGTGTCTTAACCACGCAATACCTCAGTTTCCACATCTGTGAAACCTGCTTCTCAGGGGGTCACAACTTTGATAAGTTTGCATATGTGGCAAAATTAAGTACCTGGCAGGTTGGATGGTCTCTGTCAATCAAGATGCAAGGGGCCGGTGGTCAGGACTTCTGATGGGTGTCCTGATGTGAGTGGGCAGCTAGGGTTAGGTAGGAGAGGAGGGTAGGTGTGGTATCCGCTTCCCCAAGTGAGCATGCTTCTCTGAGAGGTCAGGGGTACTCGGGCATGAGGGAGGCTGGGTGTGACTGAACAGCACTCATGAGGACAGAGGCATGTGGTGGTGGGCTGTGGTAGGGGTGGGGCTAATGGAAGGTTCCTTAAGAATGTCATACTGCCCTCTTTCCTCTAAGCTACCGAATGGAATCTTGGGACTCTGGAAGGAAGTACTCACTTCAGGGGGGAGTCAGTGAGCCGACCCCCACCCCCGCCACCCCCAGGGCTGCACTTTAGGGAACCCTGCTCATAGTTCTGTGACCCCCACCCCAGGCACCAGGCTCAGCTCCGGTGTTCTCTGAGCCCTGTGCATGTTCACCTCCCAGAGCTGATGAATGTCTCAGGCATGCTTTACAAACGGGAGAAGTGAGGCCCAAATGGTTTGCTTCTCCTTTGCAAATGTCAAAACCGGCATCGGGAGATCAAGCAACTGGCTCAAAGTCACATAGTGACTCTTGTTCCTCTCCTTCACTGCCACTTGGGCCCCTCTTCTGCCTCTTCCACCACAGATTTGGAAAGTGAGACAGGGATGGGCCAAGGGCAGGTCCTAGCAGAGCCCCCCACACACCCCATGCCTCTTCTTCCTGGTCAGAGCCACCTGGGCAGCACAGGCTAGAGGTCACTGCCAGACCCACTTGGGGTCCCCCTTCCCATCCCCTGCGCTATCACTTCCTGTCTGCTCTCTCTTTAGGAATCCCAGCTATCCCCGGGACGCGAGGACCCAAGGGTCAGAAGGGCGAGCCTGGCATGCCTGGCTATCGTGGAAAAAATGGCCCCATGGGGCCCTCAGGGTTGCCAGGGGATCCAGGCCCCCGGGGACCTCCCGGCGAGCCAGGCGAGGAGGGACGGTACAAACAGAAGCACCAGTCAGTGTTCACGGTCACCCGGCAGACGGCCCAGTACCCCGCAGCCAATGGCCTGGTCAAGTTCAACTCGGTGATCACCAACCCTCAGGGGGACTACGACACCAGCACAGGGAAGTTCACCTGCAAGGTGCCAGGCCTCTATTACTTTGTCTACCACGCGTCCCAGACAGCCAACCTGTGCGTGCAGCTGCTGCACAACAGCGTCAAGGTGACCAGCTTCTGCGACCACATGTCCAACAGCAAGCAGGTCAGCTCTGGGGGAGTGCTGCTGCGGCTGAAGGGCGGAGATGAGGTGTGGCTGGCCGTCAACGACTACAACGGCATGGTGGGCACTGAGGGCTCCGACAGCGTCTTCTCAGGCTTCCTGCTGTTCCCCGACTAGAGTGGCAAGCTGGATCCGCCCCCACCTCGATCCCTCTGCTTCCTCCATTCTCACTCAGACCCTCCACACTGCTGACCTCTTCCTCCAGGAAGTCCACCCGGCTCCTGATCCATCAGCCGGCTGACTCCCCTGAGCTTCCTAAGGAGCCGCCCACTGGTACCATTCCTGTGGCAGTTTACCAGTACCTTGAGACTGTTTGCTTGTCTCAGGTGGGGAGACACATAAATAAATAGATCGCTAAATGTGCATGGCCCAGATTTCTCGCTGGGAGGCCTTGAACTTGGCTTGTACAGTTTTGCATCTGTGAGTTCGTGCTGAGTGAAGGGATGATTTGGGGTGAACTAATGAATGCTGAAACGGGCGAGGTAATGACTAAAAACAGAACAAATGAATGAGCCATTATAAGCCCATACTAGCTAGCGTGTAAGTCCTTCTCATGCATCCAGGTGCTTAACGCTCACACTCGTGTTCTGAGATGAACACGGATACATGGATAGGAGAGAGGATCAAGCCCCTGATGGCTGACACACAGATTCTAGGAACCGCAGGAGGCTGTCTAAAACATGACTGCCCTTAAGCTGCCAAGTTTGGGCTATGAAATTCCTGATGGCAGGGACAGGTCACCGAAGTCTTCTGAGTACCAGGGAGGTTCATCGGGGGTGCCTGAGTTCAGAAAATGCAAAGTGTGCAGTTGTCAGGCTACAGGAAATAGCTCAGCGGTTAAGAGCGCGTGCTGTTCATGCAGAGCTTGGTTCCCAGCACTCCCATCAAGCAGCTCATGAATGCCTGGAACTCCAGGGGATCTGATATCCTTTTCTGGACTCCACAGTCACCTGTACTCATAATGTACATAACTCTGCTCACACACACACACACACACACTTAAAAATGATGCTAAAAAATATCACAAAGTGCAGCTGTCTCGGGCAGAGAGGTATGAAGGAGCCCCCCAGTCTGTGAGAACCAGTCCCAACCAGCTAGAATCTCAGCCTGCCACATGAGGCTCAAGAGGATGCAGCTTAGCCTGCACCCCTGGCACCAATAAATAATAAATAAATAATCCTCAACTCAGGTGAATGAGTGTTCTGTGTCATTCTGCAAAGGGTCCCTGGCTGTCCCTTCGCGCTATTGAAACTATCCACTCAGCTTTGAGCAATGTCCTTCAACCAAGATCACCTCCTCCATGAAGTCTGCCCTGATTCCCCCACAATGTCTTTCATAGGCTTGGACCCCAAACCCAGTTTTCAAAGTCAGGTAGTATAGAAAATCAACCTAAAGACATTCAAAACAAAGCTAGATTTTTGTTTTAAGGTAGCAGTAGGTGGGCTGCAGGTGACTCTGGTGCGCATGGTCCACGGAACAGCTTCAGTCACTCACCTATTCATGGTTCAGCATTCCCTGCAGGACTGTGAGCAGCCCTATGTGGGAATCCTGTGATGCTCATGAATCCTGTAGAGGCTCATGAAATGGACAAAATGGCACAGAGAGAAATAAAGATGCACGCATACATGCACAGGAGGAAACACACACACACAAACACACACATGTGTGCTACACACACACACACACACACACACACACACACACACGTGCTCACACACACAGCAGAAGGCCAGGGCTGAGGAGCCCCGCCTGGCTCACTGCATCTGGGCACTCAGCAGGGCCAGCCTGGGTCACTGGCCACGGCATGCCCAGCTGTCCCTCCATCAACCACTTAGCGGTTCACCCGGCAATGCCCCGCGTGATAAATCTTTCTTCTCATTTTTCTTTGGTTAAAAAAATCAATGTGTTGCTTATGTCAGCCATGGAGTCAGAGTCAGTGCCTGTACTTGGGAAACAACAGGGTTTTTCACCCCCGCCCCTTTTCCTCCAGAATTGCTTCCTTGTCCTTGCTACATCAAGATGAGCAGACCTTGGAATACGCCAACGCACTGGCCACGTGGAGGACGTGGGTTCTGAGGGCTGGGACAAGGCGGAAGCAGAAAAAGACTCTTACTGTAGGGGGCTTCTTTGGGCAACTGGATTTCTCTCATTTTTCTCCACATTTAGGTGTCACTCTCTATCAGGAAGTGAAGGAAGAGATACAACCTCCCACTTAGGGACCAAGGCTGAGGGACTCCCCCTCAGCTCCTGATCCCTGAGTATTGACCCTGCCAGGGACCCTTCAGCTCCTGATCCCCAGGTATAGACCCCACCTGCTCCAAGCTTGGCTCCTCTTCATACAGATGGTACTGTGTCTGGGAGCACTTTGGCCCTGAACTTTTAGGGTTCCTTTCCTGTCTCACCAACAGCCCCAGGAGACAGGCTCCCCCATCTCTGATGTAGACCTGAGGGAACTCCAGTTAGTAACGTGCTTAAGCCTACATGATTGGAGAGTTGGAGTTCAAACTCGAGATGCCCGTCCCAAATCCCCCACTGCATCTGTTTCCTGCTTTTCACATGCTGCTTCTCCAGGTTCAAGTTCAGGATGAGCTTGTCCTGTTGTCACTTACTCCGGAGCAAGAGACTCTGAGAGCCTAGATGACCACGAGACCCTCTGGAGGACCCGAGGCTGAGTGTCATGATGCGTGCCTGTAATCCCAGTGTGCGGGAGGCAGAGACAAACAGATTTGGAGTCTGAGGTTGACCTGTCTGAGAACTAAATAAATAACAGAGGGTCTCCTGAACACGTAGCCCTCAGCTCTCTCTTCTCTTGTGAACCTGGCTGAGCCTAGAGACCTGGTTTCATCATATTGACCTCCTCTTTCCCTCTCCTCATTCCCACCCATAGGTTAACGCCTCATTCCCATCCATAGGTAACACGACAAGCCGAATACTGATCCCTCCTCTCCAAGCTCTCTGGCTTCAGGTCCCACCTTGGTCTATGGTTTTGAAACTCACTGATATTCTGGGGCATTTACCACAGAAATATTCAATGTCCATTGCCAGTCTTCCCTAAAGGGACGATCCACAGGAAAGGACTCATCGCTACTCCCTGGGGCCTTCTCCCCAGGTCCTTTGAGCCTCAGTTTCCCTGAATGCAAAAAGAGGGACAGGGTGGTCACAGCGACCTCCAAGCCTCCCTGCAGCTCTTGCTTGGCATCGTCTTTAGATCCCCATGCAGCAGTCCCCTGCCTGTGGCTATTATTGTCAAGGGCTCCAAGCCCTGTTGGGAGTGGAAGGAGTGGAATGAATAAGTAATGAATACATTTAAAATTCATTATTGGATTATTTTCTGGAGACAGAGAAGAGGGTAGAGGTGGAGAGCGGGAGGCAGAGAAAGAGATAAGGCCAGAAAGGGGACATCTAGGACACGAAGTGACATTCACAATTCACGAGCTGAGTACTATAGTTTGCTCTGTCCCATCTCCAATCCCGTCTCTATCCTCCCAGAGGTCAGTGAGAGCCAGAGTGTGTATAGCCGTGGTTCCATCACATAGTGGGGGAACTGGGGCTCCCCCTGAGTTCCCTGTATTGAGAGCATTTAGCTGGCATATGGCAGAGCTGTGGCAGGAATCAGGGTCTCTGACTCTGAAACCAGGGCACAGGCCTTGGATGGGCCTCTCTGCACCCATGGAGGGACATTAGTCCCCGAGGAAGTCATGTGCTCACGAGGCCCTGGCAGGCAAGCAGCCCTCTGGGGACAGTCCCCAAGAACAGGCTAGTCCCCCCAACCCTCACCCACCTGGATGCTGAGTTGACAAAACCATGCTAGCCATAACCATCATTTACAGAAACTCCCTCCCCAGGGGCAGAAACAGGACCTGAAACTGCCTGATGGCAGCAGGAAGAGGGGACAGATGGGTGAGAGAGTGGGGGTCAGTCTGTTGGACTTGGGAGGGGACACCAAGGGAAAGCCCTTCCTGCCTCCAGCCACCCATACTTCCGCTTTCTGCAGACAGCAGCAGGCTCTGGGCTCTGAGAACCCACTGCTGTCTGGCCAGGAGCATCACAGGATATCAGGACTCCATCCGAATTCAGGTAAGCATGCCAGGGCGGGGCAGGGAGAGGTGGATTAACTCGCCAAAACAGGCCTTGCTTCCAGCTATGAACACTTGAACTATTAAACAGACTGAATACTCAGAGTGCAAGCCCAGATCCACAACACAGGCTCTCTGGGGGTGAACTAGGGGTGGAGATGTCTGTGGCTACCTGGGCACAGGGGATGGGTAGGCAGCCTGTAACAGGACCACCTGGGATCTTGGTCTCGGGAACCTTGGAGACTTAAACCAAATACCACTGCTGTCTCCTGCATGCTAGTCATCCATCTGCAGCCGGTCTTATAACCTCTCTGGTCCCAAAACCCCTTCTGGGGAGAACAGAGCCTTTTATGTGTGTAGTAAACCCTGGCAGAGACCAAGCTTGATGCTATCGGCAGGGCAGAGGCAAAGGCTGGATAAGAACACAGGCCTCTTCTGTCACATGTCCTCAGCACCTGGAGTTAGAGGTCATTGTTGGTTAGTCCTGAGTGACAAAATTGAATCTGCAAAGGATACATGCTGTCCAAGGGACCTTAATCCTCCCTGTACCACCTCATTTAATACCACTGACAGTCCTGGAAGTCAGAAATGAATGATATCAAAGAGACCAGAGAAGTTAAACACCTGTCTGAGGTCACACAGCCAGGGAGCAGCAGACGGGAGTTCAAAGCTAAGTTGATTTGGCTCCATGCTAGAGTAGAAAAAGATGAGGGTCTGTTACCATGGGCTGGCAGAAGAGATGGGTGGTCCAACCAAGAGGGTTTGAAGGCCTCCCTACATCTGAGACTTGAGACCCCCAGTAGAGACTAGAGATTAGCATTGTCCCATTTTATGGAACAGTAAACTGTGCCCAGAGAGAAGTTCTGTCATAGCCCTGCCCCTGAACAGCTTGCTAAGTGATGCTGGGAGGTATTATCAAATAGTTGAGTTTCAGTTTCCTCATCTGTGGGATGGGAAGTCCATCACAACCCACCTCTCAGATGCTGTGGGAATCCTGCAGTGGGAGCTGCAGATTCTGTGAGAGCTCAGGGTTTCCCATTCTTACCAGGGTCTTCAGAGCTATGTGGGAGAAAGACAGGGCACCATTTGTTCCCTGCACCAGGGGTAACCTGGGAGGGCTTCCTGGAGGAAAAAGCCTTGACCAAAGGCTTGCAGAATGGCTATGCTGACCTGCTCAAAACAGTCCATGGCTTTCTTCTCTATTCCCTGGGATGAGAAGGGGGTAGTACAGCCCTCTCACACTGAGTCACAGTCCCCTAGGAACCTCTGGGATGGCCCTTTGTGGTCTATCTCTGTCCTACCTCAGGCCACACTACCTTTTTTATACTTATTTTATAACTAATAAAATTTTTAAGAATTCGATTTATGGTGTGCAGTGGTGGTGCACACCTTTAATCCTGGCACCTGGGAGGCAAAGCAGGTGGATTTCTGAGTCCGAGGCCAGCCTGGTCCACAGAGAAAATTCAAGAACAGCTAGGGTTGCCCAGAGAAAATCTGTCTCAAAAGCCAAAAATTCATTAATTAAATAACAATAATAAACTAGATGTATTTATTTTATTTTGCCTGCATGTATGTATGTATGTCTGCCACATGCATGCCTGGTGCCTGCAGAGATCAGAAGAGGAAATCAGATCCCCCAGAGCTTTAGTTATAGACAGTGGTGAACTGCCTTGTGAGTTCTGGGAATCGAACCTGGGTCTTCTGTAAGTATAAGTATTCTTACCCACTGAGCCATCTCTCCAGCCTGATATTTTTATTAGTTTTAATTATGTGTAAGTGTGTGTGTATGTGGGTGTGTACAGGTGTCTTAAGGAGGCCAGAGGTGTTGCATTCCTTAGAGCTGGAGTTACAGACATTGGTGAGCTGCCTCATGTGGGTGCTGAAAACTGAACTCAGGTCCTCATCAAGTATTTTTAACCTCTGAGACACCTTTCTGGAACATTCAGATCTCACCCAAAACATTACTTGTCTCCTGTGGATAAAACAGTCCTGTTGAGATAAGCCCCTCCAACCCCAGCCCATCCTCCTCCCTCAGGACACCATTGTCCATCTTCCAGAGCACCCATCAGTCTGTGTCAATCTCAGTTTACTTGTGTACTTTTTGACTGTTACCTCTTAGTAACAAAGGACTTTGGGAGCAGAGACCCTCTCTGCCTTGTTGTCACTCTACCCTCAAGGGTATGAAAGGCAATTTGTAAACATATAGATGCAAGCATGTGCACATACATGAATACATGGGTGCAAGAATGCATAGGCGAATGCATGGGTGGATGATGGAATGAATGGATGGATGATTAAATGGATGGACAGATGGATGGATAGATGGATGGATGGATGGATACTTGTATGCATGCATGCATTCATACATATCTGTGGACACATGAGTGCATGGATGGATGAATGGAGCAGTAGACAGGCAAATGAATGGTTGAATGGTAAATAAATGAATGAGGAGAAAGGTGAATGAATGAATAGATGGATGATGGTTGGAGATATGTATGATGGTGGATAGATAGATGATTGAAGAGATCAGCAGATGATAGATGAATAGGTGGGTGGATAGAGACTAGACGAATAGTAGGAGAGATGGATAGATGGGTAATTGGATGGATGGGTTGATGGGTGGATTGATGGAAAGCAGATTATGGGATGAACGGATAGATGATGAATAGATGAGTAGTTAGAGACACGGATGGATGGACGGATGGATGGATTGCTGATGGATGGAAGAAGAGTTGGATGGATAGGTGGATGGAATGATGGATAAATAGACATCTGGGGAGATGGAGAAGTGGGTAGATGGATAAATGAAAGGATGGGTTAATGAATGATGGGAGCTACCCAGGCAGTGACTTTCCACATGTTCTCACCCTGTAGGAGTCCCCAGAGGCTGAACCGATGAAGACGACGTGGTGGCACAAGGTCTCAGCGCCATTGTTCCTGCTGCTCCTGGGCTTTCTCCATGTCTCCTGGGCCCAAAGCAGCTGCACTGGGCCCCCGCGCATCCCCGGCATCCCCGGCATCCCTGGGGTTCCTGGCTCTGATGGCCAACCTGGCACTCCGGGGATAAAAGGGGAGAAAGGTACTGCACACATTGGGAACACAGTAATGTTGCTGGTCATGACACATCTTCTACATTCCAAATCACAGTCATATGCCGTAGAGATCACAAGAGAATTTGATACTCCAGTATCTTTCCATGAAGGGCTTCTGTTTGTCCTTTTGCAGGCAGGGAAATTGTGTGGGAAGGCAGCCCAGGCAGTAGTGAGGCTCAGACCAAACAATGGATCCTCCTCTGTGCTAGGACAATGTGGTACAGTGCCTCAGTCAGGTGCTCACTCTGCCCTCCAGGATAAGCAGCCGCCCTCATCTGTAAGTCATGGCAGGTGCAGACTTGAGAGGCCCCTTGATATGAAGATCCCTCTGTAAATGTAGTTTCATTTGATCCATGAGCTATGATCCTCTCTCTGTGGCAGCCTCTCTTCTCTCAGAAGTCCACAGTTTCTCAAAATACAACCATCCCTATTTCACAGATGAGGAAGCTGAGCCTCAGAGACTGTGTCTCATTGTGTCTAGGAGACACAACTAAGAATGGCAGACATAAAAAAAAAAGAATGGCAGACATTACATAGGACACGTCTGTGTCTCTAGAGCGTACACTCTCGGCACTGTGCTCTGATTTTCCACTGGAACATTCCTTCTGTCTTATGATGCTGGGACCACGGCAGCGTAGAGTGATGATGTGAGAGAAATTCTACCATCCACAACTAGGTGTAGCTAGAGGTATGCTGTGATCAATTAAGGACATCTGCCATGGGCTAGGAAAGAGAAAAGATGGCATGTGTGCTGGGAATTCATTGCCCCTGCTTCTGGCATAAGCTTGACAAAGGTGTATATGCTTAGGACAAGAACAGGGTTCACATCTCCATGAGGGTGCCACTCACTCAACCCCTGGGCATCAATCAGCTCCCCATGATTGTCAAACCCAACCCAGAGTTAAAGATCTGGAGTAGAGGGAGACTAGGAGGCGCTCTCTGGCATGACCACTATTTTATAGTTAGTAAGTTGGACCCAGAAAGGTGCAAGGAACCACCCAAGGTCCCAGTCCAATCTCTTCCTTTTGTCACAGTGACTTCTAGTTTTCTCTTTTCTCTTGATTCTTTTTCTCCAGGGATTCCTGGACTGGCTGGAGACCATGGTGATCTTGGAGAGAAAGGGGACCCGGGGACCCCTGGGATTCCAGGCAAAGTTGGTCCCAAGGGTCCTGTTGGCCCTAAAGGTGCTCCAGGACCCCCTGGAGCCCGTGGTCCCAGAGGTGACTCGGGAGACTACAAGGCTACACAGAAAGTAGCTTTCTCTGCTCTGAGGACCATCAACAGCCCCCTGCGACGGGACCAGGCCATCCGCTTTGAAAAGGTGATCACCAATGTGAATGAAAACTATGAGCCACGAAGTGGCAAGTTCACCTGCAAAGTGCCTGGCCTCTACTATTTCACCTACCACGCCAGTTCCCGAGGGAACCTGTGCGTGAACCTCGTGCGTGGCCGGGATCGGGATCGCATGCAGAAGGTGCTCACCTTCTGTGACTATGCCCAGAACACCTTCCAGGTCACCACAGGCGGTGTAGTCTTGAAGTTGGAGCAAGATGAGGTTGTCCACCTGCAGGCCACGGACAAGAACTCCCTGCTGGGCATCGAAGGAGCCAACAGCATCTTCACCGGCTTTCTGCTTTTCCCTGACATGGATGCATGATCACAAGGTCAAATCATACCTATTCATGACCATCTCCTGCCTCCCTACCAGCAATCCTCCCTGTATTCCTGACATCACCCCTGGTCTGCCCGAAGCCCAGGCCAGAGTCCTGTAGATGTTACAGAATAAATGGGCAAATAAACCTTCAAGGCCAAAGGACAGTGGTCTAATTTGAGTCTTTGTCCCAGGACCTGTCTCATAGGAGAGCTGAGAAGTGCTAGTCAAAGAATGAATGAGTGAATTTTCACAGACTGGGGAGGTGGCTCCGTCAGTAAGGTACTTACCTTGCAAGCACGAGGACCTGAGTTCAAGCCCTAGCACACACATAAAAATGTTGAGCATGGCAGCATGCACTTGTATTGTCAGCACTGGGAAAACAGACAGGGGGGTGGATCTCTGGAGTTCAGCAGCCGGTCAGTCTAGGAAATCAGTGAGCTCCAGTTTCAGTGAGAGAGCCTGTCTCAAAGGAGGTTCCTGAGAAATGACACCAAATGTCCTTTTGGCTTCCCGTGCTTGAATGCACAGTGCACGCACACACACACACAGAGGCATGCACACACATGCATGCTCGCACACATGCACACACACTTATGTACAGGAGTCTCCAGTTACCCAGAGATGAATGGAAGGCTCCGTTGTGGTTCTCTCTGGACCAGTACACTGGAAGGCAGCACCAGCACATCTGAGCTCTGCCATTTTCCTCACTCTCCTGAGACAGGATAACTCATATCTTGCTGCAGAGGAAGGAAATGGGCCAGAAGATGGGGTTATTGTGATCTCACGGTATAGCAGGGCTCCAAGTGTCTCTGCCTGAGATTTTTCCTTAGCCAATATGTCTCCAGCACCCTGTAATGGTCTTTACACTGTCCCTTCACATTCTGCCACTCTGAGATCAAGGGATTCCCACCCCATCCCACCCTCTGCCTTGCATGCTCCCTCTTAGTGTCTTCCCAGCCTAGTGCATGCTCACTCATTCATTAAAACACAAGGCATGCCTCTGATCGGAAACCTTCAATAGCTCTCCAGGAAAGAGCCCCAGCCTGGGAGCCTGGGCATCTGCAGTTAGTTTGTATCTTCCCGCTGAAGCTCTCCTTCCCTTCAACGTGGTTCCTCCTCCTAGAAGCCTTCCACTCTGACAATCTAGCCATCCTTTAGACCTGTTAAGTTACCCAGGCTGGTCTTAAACTCCATCACCCAGGCAAGTCTCCTGTGTCAGCCTCCTCAGTAGCTGGGATTACAGGCTGGGCCACCAAGCCCATCTGAGACAGGGCTGGGTAAGTTCATCACCACTCTAGGGTCTTCAATTTGTGCAAATTGCACAGTAGGTGACCTGACCACGTCACGAGTAGGAACCATGAGACAGAGCAGTCCAGTGACCTGCCTGATGTCACACAGTAGGAGAAGCAGGCTCAAAGCCATGTTATTCCATGCTTCTCTGCAGCAGGCAGGGCTCACCTTGAGGAGCTGTGTTGGGCAGTGAAAAGTGTTGGCTTTGGAGTCAGACAGACAGGAGTTGAGGTCTTGCCTGAGATGCTTAGCAACTGTGACTACAAACAAGTGACTGCCCTCGGGTGTCCTGTCTCAACTCCTTCTAAGCAAACGGTGGAGCAACAGCATCCTTGACTCCTCTGTTGAATTAGTTTCCTAGATATAATATCTCTTGTCAGGGCAAGGACTTCCTTGGCTTTTTTTGTTTTTGTTGTTTTTTTTGGTTTTTCGAGACAGGGTTTCTCTGTGGCTTTGGAGGCTGTCCTGGAACTCGCTTGGTAGTCTAGGCTAGTCTCGAACTCACAGAGATCCGCCTGCCTCTGCCTCCCGAGTGCTGGGATTAAAGGCGTGCGCCACCAACGTCTGGCCTTCCTTGGCTTTTTAAAATTGGTTTTCTTCTATTTTTAATCGTATGTATGCGTATATGAGTGTGTGTCCAAGTGTGGGCATGTGCTTACAGGTGTCTGTAGAGGCCAGGGACATTGGATTCCTGTAGGGTCTGAGGAGGAATGAACCTGTCAATCAGCAGGCAGGGCTGGGCTGGGAACCTATGAAAAGCTAGAATAACTTAAATCCCCCCCCCACCTGGAGGACAAGGATTGGTGGGTGGGACTAGCAGGAGGGACTTAACAAGTAAGTTAAGTTGGCTGGGCTCTTACTCTTGTGGTCTTAACCCCTCAGGGTTCTATGTAGTTGGCATGCAGCTCAGACCCAACCTCATGAGGGGCCGAGAAGGGAGGAATGAGAAGGACTGAATAGCCCCTGCTTTGGGGAGGAGGTGTGGCCTGATTACGGGTCTAAAGCATGGCTGGAGCTACAGGTGTTTGTGAATCATCTGCTGTGGGTGCTGGGAACATAGCTGGGGTCCATTGCAAGGGTAGTGCCAGCTCTTAACCCAAAAGTTCTCAACCTGCGGGCCATGGCCCCGTTGGGGCTCGAATGACTCTTTCATAGGGGTTGCCTAAGATCACCAAAGAACACAGATATTTGCATTATGATTCGTAACAATAACAAAGTTACAGTTACAAAGTAGCAATTAAAATAATTTTATGCTTGGGGTCACCACAACATGAGGAGCTGTATCAAAGGGTTGCAGCATCAGGAAGGTTAAGAACCACTGTCTTAACCGCTGAGCATCTCTCCAGCCCTTTTATTTTCTTTTTTAAAGATTAAAAAATCCATTATTTTATTTCATATGTAAAAATGTTTTGCCTGAATGCATGTATGTATGCCATGTGTGTGCCTAGTGCCCACTGAAATCAGAGAGGACATCAGATCTTCTATGACTGGACTTATAGATGGTTGCGAGCCACCATATGGGTGCTGGGAACTGAAACTGGATGCTTTGGAAGAGCAGCCAGTGCTCTTAACTGTGGAGCCCTCTCTCTAGCCCAAGACTTATTTTCTTTTTAAAGGTTTGTCAGAGGCAGAGGCAAGCGGATCTCTGTGAGTTCGAGACCAGCCTGGTCTACAGAGCGAGTTTTCCAGGACAACCTCCAAAACAATACAGAGAAACCCTGTCTGGAAAAACCAAAAAAAAAAAAAAAAAAAAAAAAAAGGTTTGTCCATGTATGGGAATGTGTACATATGAGTTCAGGTGCCGAAGAGGTTGCCAGAACCCTGGATTTACAGGTAGTTGTGAGCCACTGGTTTGGGTGCTGAGGACCAAATTTAGGTTGCTTGCAAGAGCGATATTTGCTTTTAGCTGCTATACCGTCCTCTCCAGCTGCTTCCTTTGTATTTTTTGAGATAGGATCTTCCCCTACAGCCCAGACCAGCCTCAGACCCACAACACTCCTTGCTTCAGCCTCCCAAGTGCCAAGATCACAGGTGTGCACCACCACGCCCGAGATCGTTGCTTCTAGGCTCGGGAATATTTCCACAGAGAGCCACTTTCTTCAAGGCTGGACATCCAGACAAGCTTTAGTCTTGCGGCCACCAGGGGGAAGTAGACACCAGGAGAAGGATGGCCTGGCCAGGGCTGGTGCCAGGTGGCAGCTTCCCCCTCCCTCCCTTCCCAGTCTCAGTGCCAATCAGCTTTGAAGATCAGGCTCCTTCCCTAAGCTAGGGTCCCCAAATGAGGCCCCAGTCATTCTCACCTCCACAGAGGACGTGTTAAGAAACCTAGAATCTCCTCCTCCGCCTTGTGCCAGCTGAAGCAGGAACTCCAAACACAGGATGCAACCGGCTTTCACAGGTCACCCATGGGTGGGTGGGAGGGGTCAGGAGTCTGAGAAACCAGTGGCAGAGCACACGCACAGCATGGCAAGGGCTGTGTTCCTTCTCCAGTGTACACTAGCAACAAATGAGTCCTGCAGAGCCAGTACTCCAGACAAAGGGGATGCCTTTGTTTCTGTAAGGAAACAAATGGGAGGGCTGGGATGTAGCCCAGGTGACAGAGCATTTGTCAAGTGCACATGAAACCCTGGATTTGATCTTCCAGCACTGCATGTAACAGCGTTGTTAGCTTGACACAACCTAGAATCACCTGGAGAGGGAGTCTCAATAAGGGATTGTCTACATTGGATTGACCTGAGAGCTTATCTGTGGGGCGGTTATCTCGCATGGGAAGACCAGCCTAGTGTGGGTGGCATCATCCCCTGGGCAGTCCATTCATGAAGCGTTGAAGAGTGGAGAAATCAGCTGAGTACAAGCGAGCGGGCATGCATGCATTTACTCATTCTCTCTTTGTTCTTGACTGCGGATGTGTCCAGACACTTCAGGCATCTGTCACTGTGACATCTTCCCTATGGTAGGCTGTAACCTGGACGTGTGAGCTGAAAAAACTCTTTCTCCCCTAAATTGTTTTTTTTTTTGTCGACATGGGTTTTTATTTGTCTGTTTTTGTTGTTTTTACTTTGTTATCTCGTGTGTGGGTATTTTGCCTGAGTGTATCTGTACACCACATGTGTGCTGTACACCAGAGCTTGGATCCTCTGGAACTGAAGTCACAGATGGTTGTGAACTACCATGTGGGAGCTGGGAATCAAACCCAGGTCCTTTGCAAGAACAAATGCTTTTAACTGACGAGCCTAGGCGCATATGCGGGTGAAAGCCTGGAGTTCCAGCATTCAGGAGGTGGAAGTAAGAGGGTCAGGCATTCTAAACCATCCTCAGGCTTCACGGCAAGTTTTGAGCCAGCCTGGGATGTATGAGACCCCATCTCATATAAAGAACAAGGAAGGAAAAGCAAATAAGTTCTCTGTTTTGGGCACCACAGATTATTGCAAGTACTGAACCTAGCTTTTGTAGGACAGAACTGCATCTATGTAATAGGCACCCTCTGGACCCACAAGTTCTGCATTCATGATTCATCCAAGTGCAGATAGGAAATACAAAAAGTCGCATCTGGTCTGAACATGTGGGAACACCATCATCGCTCACCAAACAACCCAGAATAGCTGCTTTCACTGCGTTTACATTGTGTATGTTTGGTCTGACAAGTCTAGAGATGAGCTACATACACAGAGGGCTCACACAACTCCTATGCAGACATTGTGCCTTTCTCTGTAAGGGACTTGAGCATCTGTGAATTTTGAGATCCCTGAGAGAGTTCTGGAACACATCTCTGGGAAACTAAGGAATGGCTATATATACACAAATGATGGTAAAGTTCAGACATGTTTGTATGTGTATGTGTGTGTTTGCATGTGTGTATGAGTGTTTGC